CTTGACATAAATAGAAAGGAACTCTACTAACTCATTTGGCATTAATCTCGTAGCAGATGCGCGGATCTGCGGATCTGTGATGCCCCGTATAACTATTGCCGATATCAGCTCATCGCTTAACCCCCTAATGATTCGTAATCGTAAAAGGGACCTACGAGCATAATCAGCGTATGTAAGGAAGCTATCCGAATTGGTGCTCATAACCTCGTATAGGCTATGTCTGTTTTTTGTCCAAAAAGCCTTTATGTCCATAAAGGCTTAAATTCGTTTTTAAAATTACTCCAACTGCGGTCATTCGTTACCCATTCGCTGAGCCACGTTTTAGCATCTCTTTGTAAACAATTGCCAATGCGAGAAAGACATTCGTGATCACTCCAATTATTAGATGACCTAGCACGGTCTACTTCTTCACACCATGTCTATATGTCATTATATATACTATATGTTATCACACTCGGATCAAAATTAGAAATATAATAAGACTATAATATAGAAGGTATATTTATGGATCGTATCGCATCGATGACGCGATCGGCGGCGCTGGCCTGGACTGAGGTAGCGCTCGCGGGACGCTCCGGTGAGGACGGAGTCGTTGAAGCCAACCGCTCTGCGCGCCCTCGAAGCTCGCAGTCACAGCTTCGCCCAACTGCGACGGCGGCGGCAACGACACGGCAGGCTCAACGGCAGGAACGGGCTTGGTGCTGATGGTTGTCACAGGCACCGCGGACCTGGCCACTTCCACTGCGGTGCGGCCACTTGACTCCTTCCACTGTGGCGCGGCCACTTGACTCCTTGAAGACACTACCTGTTGTTCCTCTAATGACACCAATCTATTCAAAATTTGTTGCATTGTTTCGGTTAAAATATTGCTAGAAGGGCTACGCCGTCTGTAGCGCGAATCATGTTGGCTAGAATGCGATCTGCGATTTCGCGACCGACTTCTATTCTGCCGCCTCTTATTAGGCATGTTTTCTTTTTTTAGCAAGTATTTCAAATTATACGCAATTCGAAGCAACGCATTCAAGTTACGGTAAATAATTGATCAGCAGGGTAAGCACGGCAAAATATTAAAGTCGAGCCATTTAAAAATGTTCACAACAAACTAACAAATTCAACTTTTATTTGTTATTTTAAAACGGAGAATAAAATAATTGGAACGTACTCACCAAAGTTGGCATCATAAAACTTGATCACACCGTCACATCACGTCTTACTTACGTATACGAAACACCGAAAACAAAGTGCTAATTTGTCCTTTTAAACAAGGGTAGTTACAATTTCCAAAAATATATTTCTGATCGTATGACTAGCCAATTAAAGAAATAACAATGGAAACACATCGTATCAGGATGTACAAACAAGGACGTGGGAGTTTCACTATCCCACTACTGATCTTAATGATCAGAAGCAGGGAAAATTAAAAAAAACAATCTCTTATACACTATACTTTTTGAATTAATAAGAAAACTAACAGAATTAAATAAATGTAATTAACACTAAAATGATTTAAAAATACAACATTAACTATAATCAACTATCAGAGTTAAAATGATTAATTATTTTGGCTAGTCAAACGGGCAGAGCTTCCGCTGGCTTCAGTGTTCGGTGGCGAGTGTGCCCCGAAAATGAGGGTGCGGTCTCTTATATTAGCATCACCCCACAATGTCGGAGGAAGCCATTGTGATTATATTTAAAGTAGGAAGTTATTAAGTAGCCATTGTCAACTGAATTATTGTTTAACGCATAGTGAGCAATGTTTAATGTTTATTGATATTGTAAAAGCTTCTAATAACTTTTAATTTGATCTTACTTTTTAAGTTACGTTATTACTAGATTTAATAACATTATTATCGTAATTTAAGTAACGACCAATCAGAGCAGAGCACCTGGCTTGAGAGGGGTCGAGGCACCATCTTTATATAAAGCGTTTTGACAGTTGTTACGAATATAGTCGTGAAGTGGAGACGGATCGAGTTGGGTCATCGTGTTTTGTGCTTGCACTTTGTCGTTGAGAAAAGGATCTAAGGGATCCTAAGGGTCTAAGGGTCTAAGGGTCTAAGGGTCTAAGGGTCTAAGGGTCTAAGGGTCCGAGGGTCTAAGGGTCCGAGGGTCTATGGGTCCGAGGGTCTAAGGGTCTAAGGGTCTAAGGGTCTAAGGGTCTAAGGGTCTAAGGGTCTAAGGGTCTAAGGGTCTAAGGGTCTAAGGGTCTAAGGGTCTAAGGGTCTAAGGGTCTAAGGGTCTAAGGGTCTAACGGTCTAACGGTCTAACGGTCTAACGGTCTAACGGTCTAACGGTCTAACGGTCTAACGGTCTAACGGTCTAACGGTCTAACGGTCTAACGGTCTAACGGTCTAACGGTCTAACGGTCTAAC